CTCTAGCACCAGGGGTTCTGATGCCTCTGGCCTCCATAGGCAGGCACCTGCGTTCACTCACAAATTCACACGCAGACACACATTCACACTCTTAATTTTAGTACATCAATAATTGAACATAAATATTCTTTTAAAAACAATAAACTGAGGGGCTGGAGAGACAGCTCATTGGTTAAAAGCCTTCCCTACTCTTACAAAGGACCTGTGCTCCATTCTCGGCATCCATGTCCTGAGGTTCACAATTACCTGAAACCCCAGCTCCAGGGAACCCAACAGCTCTGGCTTCCCAGGGCACCTGCACTCGGGGACACACAGCCACATGCAGACACACAAAAAAATGCCATTAAGGAATCTAAGAGTGGCCGGGCGTTGGTGGTGCACGCCTTTAATCCCAGCACTCGGGAGGCAGAGGCAGGAGGATCTTTGAGAGTTCGAGGCCAGCCTGGTCTCCAGAGCAGAGTGCCAGGATAGGCTTCAAAGCTACTCAGAGAAACCCTGTCTTGAAACAAAACAAAATATAAACAACCCACTAAAGCCAGCTAAGGGGTGGGGAAACTGTCCAGCAGGTGTGTGAAAACGTTCTTGCTTATCATGTTTGAATCCTTGGGTTTGATATCCAGCTCCTCATAAAATTGGGTGTGATGGTGCACACCTTGGATCCTAGCACTGGGTGGCCAAAGAGAAAGAGAATGGAGGAGAAACCATGTTAGAGACAGAGACAAGACACTAATGTGAAATCCTAAAACAAGAAGTGGGGGGGGGCGGGGGGGGGACCATGTGCAGAGAGGGACATAAGACCCTGATGCCCTGAAACTGAGAGAGAGAGAGAGAGAGAGAGAGAGAGAGAGAGAGAGAGAGAGTGTGTGTGTATGTGCGTGCTCGCGTGTGTGCAGGGGAAATCGTAAAGCTAACACTGCTGAGTGGGGCCTGGTCACAACCGAGTCCCATTTTCCAGGGGAAACCGGGCTCACTGTGTGTAAGGATATATGCACACAGCTTCCTCTCCTATTTATTATAAAGATCTACTGTTCCTGGCCCCTCTGCCAGCTCTCTGGACAAAGGGGATAGATTCTGAGCTTGACTTTGTAAGCATTGTAGCGTAGCAGCTTTATAGCCCTGCTTCAGGGAAAGGCTTCCCCAATCAAACAGCTCTGGGGTAGAGCTTCCCCAGCAAAGCTGTTACAGTTCAGCTCCAATGCACCGTCCCCCGGGAAGGTCTCCCAAGTGAAAGTCATGGGAAGTTAACTTCTGTCCTCTGCTCCATTCTGGCAAAGGAAGGTCTCACCCAAACCTCACGCAAGAGATTTATTGGTTGCAGGGCCAAAGTGTGTTTTCTGGCTCTGCTCAGGGAGTGTTTCTTTGGCTGGCCCTTTTCCCCTACAGACTTCATATTTTATTTTGCAAACAAATCACATTTTATATTTAAGGAGTATGATGGCAACAATTTTTATTATTGAAAAATTATTTTTCTCACAAAAATACATCCAGTTTACAGTTTCCCCTCCCCCACTTCTCCCAGTTCCTCCCTGTCTCCTCTCCCGTCTGGATTCTCTCCCTTTTGGTCTCTCAGAAAATAAAC